CGTAGCGATCCTTATGTAGGGATAGGTCCGGTTAGAAACTTGGGGCTTTGCGGTGAACTAGAATTCTAAACGTAGTACAAAAACGATCCATACGAAGCTGTTCAAGAACTCGTTGAATATTTCTCAACTGCACTTCTGTATGGTTGGTACACTACGCTAACATTTGCCGTGAAACTTTGCAAATATAAACTGTTTAAAATATCACTGGAAAATTCGAAATGTTACAGTAAAAAGTGAAATTCAATTGATTTAATCTCTCTTTGTTATTGTTTTTTGTTTTTTTTTACCGAACGAGACAAAGATATTATGCAATAAATCATATTAATGGCAACAGTTACAGGTATGAACTTATGTTGTTATAATAGTAGTCACTCACAAACTATTGCCTGGCCTTTTCTCAACTGTGAAATACAAACATATATACACCACGTCTCGCTCAATGAAAACTCATCTCGCGATATGTAATATTAGTGACAAATACAGATACGTTTCCCTGTGGAATATTTTAACTGTTTCTTTTTTCTTTTTTAAAAGATGCTTTATTTTAACTCTAATTTGGTAACATTTTAAAATAATCGTTATATTGAACTTTGTGCTATAATGCTATTTTAAAGTTTGATTAACTAAATTAATCTAATCCAGTTCAGTTTACTTCAGCTTTCTTTGACTTTCAACAGATCCGATTAGTTTATTCAGTTTTCATAGATTTTACACCTGTTGTGTTTTTAGTATATTAATTTCCTTTGACTTATTTTGTTTGTGAATAAAGTATGATTTAGTATATATTATACATACCAGTTTAGTCTCTTTTATCTTGCCCTCAAGAAGTTAAATCACGCTTAATTCTTTTGCTCACTAAACCCAAGAATTTATCATTATTGCATTGATCAGGTAGTTGTGTATTTTAATACACCGAGTTCCAGAATATCTTACGTCTTGCAGTGTGCTCAGATAATTAAATTTAACATAATGCATAAGTGTTACTTCTAATATAGTTTATGTAGCTTGATTTTTTGTATGTTTGAACAGGATTAATTTATATGATCCTTAAAACAGCTAGATAAAAGATTGGTGTTTTGTTTTCGAAATTGTTTGTGGTGAATGTTTCGAACCTCAATATAAGCAACGCTACCTACTCGATACAGTACTTTGTAAAGCGTAAACACTAATGAAAGTAAAGAGGGTTTTGTAAATCGTAAACACTAATGAAAGTAAAGAGGGTTTTTTAAATCGTAAACACTAATGAAAGTAAAGAGGGTTTTGTAAATCGTAAACACTAATGAAAGTAAAGAGGGTTTTGTAAATCGTAAACACTTAATGAAAGTAAAGAGGGTTTTGTAAATCGTAAACACTAATGAAAGTAAAGAGGGTTTTGTAAATCGTAAACACTAATGAAAGTAAACAGGGTTTTGCAAATCGTAAACACTAATGAAAGTAAAGAGGGTTTTGTAAATCGTAAACACTAATGAAAGTAAAGAGGGTTTTGTAAATCGTAAACACTAATGAAAGTAAAGAGGGTTAATCGCACTTTATAAGAATAATTTATGTATACTAATATAGAGACATAAATAGCGCTTCATTTCTTGGCTCAATTCCCGACCATTCGATGTCACAATCCTTTCCGAGGTATAGTATTCGTAAAGTGAGATTTCTAAGCCATGTAAGGTTAGTGAAAACTCGTAAAGTGAGATTTCTAAGCCATGTAAGGTTAGTGAAAACTCGTAAAGTGAGATTTCTAAGCCATGTAAGGTTAGTGAAAACTCGTAAAGTGAGATTTCTAAGCCATGTAAGGTTAGTGAAAACTCGTAAAGTGAGATTTCTAAGCCATGTAAGGTTAGTGAAAACTCGTAAAGTGAGATTTCTAAGCCATGTAAGGTTAGTGAAAACTCGTAAAGTGAGATTTCTAAGCCATGTAAGGCTAGTGAAAACAGCATTAAAGAAGGGAATTTTCGTTGATCTCCATGAAAGAAGAAAGATTTGCACAAAAGAGAGTTTAGAACCACAAAACCACCAATCTTTTGTTACAAAATAGACCCGGTCCGGCATGGCCAGGGGGTTAGGATGCTCGACTCGCAATCTGAGGTCGCAGGTTCGAATCCCCGTCACACCAAACGTGCTCGCCCTTTCGACCCTGGGGGCGTTATAATGTGACGGTCAATCCCACTATTCGTTGGTAAAAGAGAAGCCCAAGAGTTGGCGGTGAGTGGTAATGACTAGCTGCCTTTCCTCTAGTCTTACACTGCTAAATTAGGGACGGCTAGCGCAGATAGCCCTCGTGTAGCTTTGCGCGAAATTCAAAAACAAACAAACAAACCATTCGATGCCCCAAAAGATCATTGTAACGAATCTCGACACATCTATTAGTATCGTTAAGAAGATAACACAAAAGGATGAGGCTCGCAAACTTCTAGCATACTTTAAAATCAACAACCGTTTTTACGAGTCCAGCCATTAGAGTGAACACGAAGTTCCATGGGGCGTGGGGTATAATTCTGTAACACTTTACATTCTACAGTATCATGATATTTTGTTGCCTCCAATCTTAAGTGATTTATTCAATGTGTAGAAAAAACATTTAATACTTGCAACAACTGTGCCTGAACAAGCCGAACGTTGAATAACGACCAGTTAATTATTTCAGAGTAGGTGAGACAATTTAACATTTTTTCAGACTTCGTAAAAAAGTTCAGCAAGAATTTTTGAACCTAGAGAAGGGTTGAAATTAGAAACGGCTTTGTTTTAATTATAAGTTGTGTTTTACTAATACACGTACAAGTACGAAATGTTGTAAGTGTGTGAGATAATGCTGTGACAAGATTTATGATTCTGATAATTTGGTATATGAGCTACACAATTATAAATCCATCTCGAATTGCCGTCATTACTCTCACTTGACCAATTTTCTAGCTCTTTGAAAGAGCTCAATGTTTACTGGCTACTATAAGGCATTACCAGTTTTACCCTTTTAAAAGACTTGATGGTTCTGATAAGACATTGCCAGTTTTATTAGCTCCAATAAGACATCACCAGTTTTATTGGCCCAAACAGTTTTATTAGCTCCAATAAGACATCACCAGTTTTATTGGCCCTAACAGTTTTATTACATTACCAGCTTCGTTGCATCCAACGAGACATTACCAGTTTTATTAACTCCAATAAGACATTACCAGTTTTATCAGATCCAACAAGACATTACAGTTTTATTAGCTCAAACGAGACCTTATCAATTTTATTAGCTCCAATAAGACATTGCTAGCTTATGCAAGTGTTTCATATTCTAGTTATTCATTGTTATTGCCTGCTTTTATTAGAGACGATGTTATAAGAGTCACTATATTTCCAGTGACTCTCGGCAGCGTATCTATGCTACTAAAAGATGATTCTGGTGTATCACTATTTGGTACTCACACTATTAACGATATTTTCATCAGTAATCCCAATAATACAGAGCGAAGTTCGGCGAGCTTAGGAGATTCAGTTTGAATCTAAATCTATATGCTAAGTTAACAATACCAGATAATAATAATATACAATACAAATTATTATATATGTCAAACATTTTAATCAGTACTGTTTATGAAACCAACATTCTGTATATCTAGTGTTAGTATCACTCCATTTGCTGTTAAGTGATAGCCTTCATAAAATCAACAAGAAGACCACCCTGGAACTTGTTTAAGATCACTTAGCTTAAATGTGATCTAAGGTCGAAATAACAAAATAAGAAAAAATTATAAATCGGTCTGCTTTGTACTTTATTGTACTTAATGGAGTGTGTTTTGTGCAACATAATCATACACTGATAAGCAGCAAGAGTCTTCCTCTAAACCAAGCATGTTAATAGAAGTAGATAAAACAAAAGAGATAAAGAAATATCCTAATCACCAGCGTATGCCATTACGTTAGTAAAGCTCACTTTATCTATTGCCAAAAAGTAAACTTAATATATCTTGGTACCTTAGACACAGAGGATTTTAATAATAAAGATTAATAATGCTAAGGTGTCGATAGTACATTGGGGCTATCTGTGCTAGTCGTCCCTAATTTAGCAGTGATAGACTATAGGGAGGGCAGCTAGTCGACACCACCCACCGCCAACTCTTGGGATAGTGTTTTATCAACGAATACTGGGATTGACTGTCACATTATAACGATCCTACGGCTGAAAAGACGAGCATGTTCGGTGACAGGGATTCGATCAGATTGCGAGTCAAGCGCCCTAATCACATTTAATAGTATAACTGCGTGAATCTTATATTTCGCGGATGTGGTTCGTCGTGTGTGTGAATTTTTTATCACTTCATAATGCTATTTATTAGATAGACTTGGTTCAAAGTATGTTTTAGTCTGGTATACATAATAACTGGTAATTATGATAATGTTGTGTTGCTAGAAAATCCTTGACCTTACTAGCCTGCATTATCAAAATGTTACACGATGAACCTATCCATCTAATAAACATTCATGCAGGGGTAACTACGATTTGTTAACTAAAACACATTCAGATGAACAATGAATTAAATCTATCTAGAAAAATGAATTTACACACAGAGAACCAAATGACTATGCTATTTGTACATAAGTCAATTCAAGTACATCTTATACAAAACTCACATTCTATATATATACACTGTTCCCCATTCCAATTATTCAGTTACGCAAATACGATAATATCAAAAACTAAAAGTAACCATTTTCATTCTTAAATAAGTTGGGTGAAATTCGATTGAACTAAACTTAATTTTATGTACGTTGCTCTCCAAACAGAAGGGAATGAAAAAACGCATGAACTATTTGTATATACAGAAGAGTTAAACACGCGAAATACAAGTAACATTAACACACTAATACATTACCTGTTCAAAAGCCATTTATGTTTCATGGAGTTTATAAAAAAGAAGTCAACCTCCCTGACTGTTTCGTTCTTTCCTCAGTCTATATGTTATTTGATCCAGTATTTTATCCTAAATTAAACTATTCACAAAACACAGCAACCTTACCTTGATCGAGAGTTGTGGATCTTTCTGCCATGAGGAAAAAGGAGCCATACTTGGAGTGAAGTATTGACCAGCTTTCGTGCTGCTATATCTTTTCACGGTGATAACTGTTACGCTTATCTACCGGTGCACTGTGACCAGATAGTTTCATATCAATAGCAACTATCCAAGACGCGGCAAGATAATACGCAGATTTGACTTCCAAAGTTGAAAGTCGAAGTAAAAAAAAAAGATGATAGACAAACTATAAAGCTGCAATGAAAAAGCAAACAAACTTGTTATCGTGTTTGAACGCAAGTTAAAGATGCCATGATAAAGTTTTAGTTTTTCCTACTTGTTTCTAGAATGAGACGATGTTTTAGCATTTATACCGAAGACGAAAAATGTACCATGTATACCAGCCTAAAGTATACTCTTGAAATAACTTCGAAAATGCCATGTTTAAAAGCATTCTCGAATGTTCTTTGCAGACTTCTGTTGGGGGATATTTAAACTAGGCCTATAAGTGCGAGCCACGGACACAATTTCTCAGTGTAGAATTACTGATGGGACACGAAACTCCACTTAATGTTGTTATTTGGTTATATTTATTATTTTGTTATATGTAATATTGTTACTGTCTAAATACAATTCTTACTAAAATTAACAATTATAAATAAAAAGGATCATGTTTATATTGTTACGACAGCGGAAGTCACTTGACGCTGAAAGCATGGCTCTGGAGTTTCTAGAAGGATCATGACTGTTCCTGGCAACTCTAGTCTTTTCTAGCGGAGATAAAAGTTGCAGATAGATGGAGATAGAGACAGATAATTGAGTCAGATGAGCAGTAGTGACCGTAAGTAAAGTGCGTGAATCGTTGTGAATTACAGCGTGTGTTTAAGTTAAAGTGACTGTGGAAATTAAACTGTATTGCAAAGTTGTATTGAGAAAGAATAAACTAGTTTTATTTAAGAAAGGACTTGTATCGCTGAAGTTTTTCAAAGAAAATTTCTACGGAAAATTAACCAACGACCAGAGACGTACCAAATTGGTGTCAGAGAGTGAGACAGTAAATAAAAATAAAAAAGAAGAAGAAAGAGAAAAGAAACATGAAGAACGAGAAAATAAACAAGAAGAGAGACTACAGCAGTGGTTGGAGAAGGAAAAAAATGAACAAGAAGAGAAACTATAGCAGTGGTTGGAGGAGAAAGAAAATAAACAAGAAGAGAGACTACAGCAGTGGTTGGAGGAGAAGTAAATTAAAGAAGAAGAAATTCTCTAACAGTTGAGAGAAAGCCAGAGTACAGAAATGGAAAACATTAGTAAATTTCAACGTGAATTAAATACATTAAAGAATGATTTACTCTCTTTTACACAAGGAGGATATATTAGCCATCGACCTAATCAGCCTCAGACAATGGAAAGCCCCTTCCTGACCCTGCAGCTAAACCCTACTGCAGACATCTCCAGTCCTGCTAGAAGTCACATTCCAGACACGAGTGTCAGCAATAGGGGTATCTAGTACGAAGGAGCCACAGGAATTCGATGGGAAGACACCCTGGGAAGCATATAGAGCA